ACGCGACCAGAAGACAGCATATCATTTTAGACCAAATTAGGCAATTCATTCTGCGTTTAAGTATAAAGCTTGATTTATATTGATTGTCCGAAATCACCGTGCCAAAATTAGTTGGTATCATTATCATTATACGCGCTATCGGTGGTTACAGAACACGTCAGCTATTATGCCGCAATACAAAAGTAACGAAAGATAACATGAAACAGTGGCAGCCGGCTGATTCACCAGTAATCGATATGCATCATTCCGGAGAGCTAACAGTCGGCTATTGTGTCGTAAGGAATAGTTATTTTATGTCAAATGAATGGGCTTGCCGTTGGAGGTGGGATATTAGCGGGAGGAGGAGGGACAAAGAAACGCACAGCACAAACGCCATTGAGGTCGGCTCCTAGCCATGTCAGACGTGTATCTTGCCAAATGTGTTCATCGTCCTTCGGTCCCCAAGAAGGGAGCTGAGCGTCGCCAACCGAAACCAACTTCGAAGTAGGAACCTTTATTCCTCCTGACCAAGACATTGCTTGGCCACCCCACTTCAACAATACTTGGTATAAATCTGACGATAGGAAAAAGCGCTAAACTGGTGCCTTACAACCTCGTCTAATATAATATTCTAGATCCATCAATTCAAAGTGTTATCGAGCTGCATAGGCAGGTGAGCCAAGATACTTGACTTAATTTACTTCAACGCGTTTTGCAGTAGAACTGCAAGCTACATGCGCTGAAATGGATCTCACCATAGATAAAAGCTCCATACTGCTACGAGCGCCTGGTCTATACATATTCGTCGTTATTTCCGCCGTTAATTTGTCTTATGCTTCCTGTGTTAACATTCCGATTGTGGCAGATTTACCACGTTCCTGTGAACCATTGACTCCAGCTCTATGTGTTACCACTTAGTACATTATTAATTCTTAAATACTGTCGAATATCAAACCATAATTTGACAGTTGAAAACCCTCTTATTCTGCTGTGTTTTCCTCTCGGTGTATTGATGTCTAATCACATATATTGAGCATATTTTGCCGATTGATTTATTGCATTATAGACAAATGAGCAAACGGCATGTGTCTCGACAAATACAAGACCATTGTTTCATTTTTTGTCGCGACAGACTGTAACTGTTAGTTAAATATGCAACTGGTTGTTCCTCAGTTTCATACCAGTCGTTAGGACACGATTAATGTGTGGTTAAATCTGAGCACAGATTTTGGCCAGGAAAGTGTGCAGCTTTGTCCCGAAAACCTTGCCATATCATTTTTTAAACTGACACTGTTGCTCACTTCCAGCTTTAAATATTAGAATGATCAGGGAAACCTACACGTTGCTCAAATCCTCCATCCATTAGTGAGCGTATTATACTCACCAAACAAGGCTGGGAATTCCCTTACGGGTACCTCATCCAATCTGGGGTAGCCAGTAGCTTTCAAATTAGCTCCCAAACGGAGGTCTCAGAAGCACGACCAAACAAAACGCATAGGCTTCTATAAATAAATAGCTTATTCGTTGATAAAGACGACATGACCAAGCAACTATTTGCGTCAGATTTGCAAGATTTGACGCTGTCTTTTTGCCTGAAAAAATATACGTAGTAACCCGTAAATGCCACAATAATTAGGCAAAAACAACGACAGTCCGTATGAAGATGTGCCTAAACATGCACAAACCAAGAATTCGCATTTGTCATGTTGCTTCAGTCACAATAACATAGTTGTCGTTTAGCAAATGGGAATTGATTTGATAATTGGCGTTCAGTCGCTCGACGTCTTGGAGTGACCTTGTTAATTAGAAACCCATAAACACAAATCGCTTTATCGCTCTGAATAATTTAGCTCATTTGCGTAACAGTAATGTATGTTATACTTTCTACCAGTTCTATATTTATTCGGGATACAATTCTGCCCAAAGCTAAAGGGAGAATCTGTTGGATCAGCTTAATTTGTAGTAGAATATTGTATAAATGTGCTGAATTTAAAAAGATATTCAATAATCCAAAACGAACTTTCTGGTGTACAGTCATGTCATCCTCTATTTACAAGGTGCCCGTGACTTAAAAGCAATATCCAGAAAGGTCTGCGTCATAATTTATGTTATCACATTCAGTGGACGTTCAATTCAAGGGATATGAAACAGAAAGAGCTAAGTTGGTTTATTCAGACATGTTTTAACATCAGTTATAAATCCGCTTCTGTTTCGTTCACTTCATGTGAATACTTCTTTCTACTTTTCACGTTAGGAAAGCATTTATGAACTAACCACCGCAATTATTGATGTACCGATGGTTACTGCATACCTACAGGAATTGAAGAATTTCGTAGATCCTTACACCAACACGCAACCTGAGGCCATTACAATTCGAGACACCATCGATGCATGTCTGGCTGACCTGCAAGAAGCGGACTCTCTGAGTAGTCATGCTTTGCAACTGGCCAGCTTATTTACGGAACTGCAAAAGTACCAAGTACTATCTCCGCAACTACAAAACATAAGCGACACACTACAATCGGTAATCCAGGTAAGTAACACACAACCGTGGCCACATACGCTTCATCCAGATACTATGTATCAGTTGGGGCATATATATGAACCTGTTGTGAAATGCATTAAAATATATGAAGATGCTAACATGGATTAACTATACGAATTTACGAAGTCGAGGCTTGGCAAGCGTATGCACTTCAATCGGGGTAGGTTTCCTAATTTTACTGGCAGACAGATAAATATTACTAACTTTCCCACGAAGCATTAGCTGAATGTCGTAAAAATAATTTGTGTGAGTTGACTGTTACCATATCCTATTAAAGCTTTGAAAGAATGATTGAAAAATTCGCATTTTCTATTGATGCGCAACTTTGTTAACGCGCACGCAAATATGTGCTGCAAAACTAGCGGTGTTTTGACAAGCTGACTGTAGAACTTAAGTAGTAAACCTTGTTGGGCACAGCTCTTCTTAAAAATTGAGACATGCACTTTTTCTGGCGATATCCAACATGTGAAGTAGCTATCTTTGATTTCAACTGGTTATGCGCTATGATATCGGATTTTACGCTGCATTTTCATAAACTGCTGTAAGCATCTTCGAGTCAGTGGAATAAAATCACTGCGCTCAAATGCTTGCGCACTTTGGCCGTTTCCTTCAGATCCTCAGCAACACGACGGCCGTTGTAGATCCACTGGTATCGGCATACCGTGCTGCTTTTATCGAGTTCTTCGCCGCGCTCAGTACATCTATGGACGCTGAGATGGCTCGGTTTACAAGTCAGGTGGTCTCTTGCAGTCGGCTACATATCATCCTAAAATCCACACTGGAGATCACGTGTGGCAACACTGGATTGCTCAACCGATTGGGTGGATTAATGTTTATTCTGGCTCTTCTATCCCTTCCAATGCTCATCGCTTCCATAATCTTCCAAGTCTTCCTGTTTATGCACGAACAACACTGTATACATGTCGAGAGTTAACGCGGTTGAGGATCCCAGCTTGAGAAATTTACATTTAATCTAAGCATTGCCATTACTAACGGATATTATTTACCCCAAATCTGTGGGCAAATCATGGTGAACGTTGCTAAGTGTTTACTTTTCAACCAGTTCGCTGAATCAAGAGAGTAATTTGGAACGCGAAGGATCACGATAGCTATTTTGCAAAACATTAAAACGGATAGATAAAATTAGTACTGATTATCGCCTGCTGAAATGTCTATTTGTATTCTCGAATTAAAAAGATTACGCAATTGTGTATTCTTTTGATAGCATACAACAAGGGAAGCGCCATCCACATGATGATAAAATAGGTTGTTATCCATATTAGAATTTACACAGTTGTTTCAAGCGGAGATAACTAATTTTAACTAAGTACTGCAGGCGGTGGTGGATCATGTATCTTATGGTAGATCGTTGTCAAGCACATTGAATGGTTGGCTACAAGGATTGATGGGCCTTACACATTTAAAATTATTGGTACGTCTGTTTTATTAATTGATTATAAGAAAGTTAATTAACAACATGTGCGCATCGTACGTTTCAGCAATGTCGTGGCTTAAACACACAGTTCATACCATGTGTCGCCATGATATTCTAAGCTTACTTGATTAACTTGTCTATCTAGCAACATGGCATTTTATTACCATTTTATTGTGAAATTAAATTACAATTGTTTAGTATATTTTAGACTCTTTTCCATAATTTACTCATCGCCTGATTATGCTCTCGAGATTGAATGCATTTATCCATTTGTCTCCATCTATTCATCTTGTCCATGTTTGTGTTCCCACAAGCATTTGGTGTGGCTTTAGCTTCACTGTACCGTCTACTTTCCTAGCTATCGCTAAATTTTTATGACTGCTCAATTTCTTATGTACCTTGGGTATTGCACTGCTGCTGGGTCAGTTGAAAGCTGTGAATTCAACGAAATAACTAGCACAATATGACAACAACATTATCTGAGCAGCAAAATGTAACCGTATTGAACTCCTATATATGGACGCACAAATCAAAGTCCACAAATTGAAGAACTAGCTCAGCTTGGTAAATAATGAGCAACTGCATATTAATAGGTCTCTGGCAACGTTATGACAACACAGTAGTCCGAGAAACCGGAAGAACTCCATGCATCAAGTAAGTGCAAGTCTCTCCTGAAAGCTAACTTAATAAGCGCGTTCGCTGTGGTATAGAGTGATGATATCCAAGGTACGGGCCCGCCAGACAGTTAAGACTTGACAGATTCGCAGCGAAATATCTTTAAAATGACCTGAGATTGTTGCTGATGTAAACTTCTTCTAAACACTAGTAAATATATATTCTGCATTGTCGTCTTCAAGTACAGAATTCATGACTTTGTAAGAACCTAACTAAATAACAGATGCATTGTGGGAAATCAACTTAATCACCGGGTTATATGCGTTAAACAGACTAAAACAATTCAGCTTTTATCCTGAAGGAAGCCAGATATTCCGAAGAAGCCTAATGCTGTTTATGAATATCTCTATTGCTGTTTAAGCGCCAAATAAGATTTTTTAATGCAGCCTGAATTGCCGATAATGCTTAATACCTCTTGAGCCGGACACCTCTGAATGTTACAAAAAGCATAAAAGCTTAGCCGTTAATCCTTTCATTTATGCATCTCACTAGGTTGAACCTCTGACAAACAATGAAATCTTGTAGGGAGAACCCGCCATTGGTCTTGGATTTGCAACATGTAATCTCACGTGTGATCTTGGTTGACTTTAAAGTTAGTCTCCGCCATTACAAGTACATGGACCGTATCTGAGCTAGAAGACATTCGTATTGCTCTCTGCCAACACGGCAATCTGTGACGCGTTTCAGACTTGTTCGGACTCATCACGTAGCGATGGCGTGAGCTGGAAGTGGAAGTCGGTACCCAGTGATTGGTAGGTATCGTCAGGTTCACGAGCAACGCATCACACAGGGACAAGAATGGCTCTAATTTTAGCGTATTTCTCTGGGTATTCCCCTTCTCCATGAAACCAAGATAAAGGTTGCGCAGAAGTTTTGTAGGCGTAAAATAGAAAACACCCTATTTGGCAGGATATGGACAAATGTCCTGCAAACAAAACAGCAAGTAATGTGAAATCTCGCATTTTCTGATGCTAACGCACATAGTGAACTAGTGATTTTCTTCAAACTACCAGACTGAACAATCACGTGGTCTTATTTTGAAAACAACTTTATGAAGGCTGCATTTCGTGAGACGGAGCAGGTGATCGATATGTATGCATACATCGCTCACGTGCCACAAGTCGAAGAACAGATAAGGTTGAATTGTGTCAACAACACCGTAGATGCAGGTTTCACAACAGGGTATTGATTCTCACTTCAGAATATTGAGTAATGCACGTCTGCGTCATCCTCCAAATGGTGTCTCACGGGTATCCTGTGGTAATTTCGTCACCATTGACAGCGCAGTAGGTCTTAAGTGTTGCTACAAATGTTTAAAATAAGTGTCAAAAAATGGAGTCAATTGAAATTCACATTTAAAGAACAATCTGTCGCTTAGAACCTAGCGGTAGCGCATATCTTTAGCAGTCTAAAACGGTAGAATTAACGCAAAGTAACCCAGGCAAATAAACATAGTTTCCTGAACAAAAATGCAGTCAGTTGAAACACATCCGATAGGACCTACCGCAGCCAACTGGGCTTTAGGTGTCATCCAGACTTCTGGCGACATCGGAAATTAGGAAAAAAGTAAACAACGTATGAATGAGACGATGGTATCTCTAAGCATGTTTTATAAATTATTTGGAATTTTCTCTGCCAGACCCAAAATCGTTAAAGGAAATTATAGTTTTAAACATAGGGAATGACAGCAGGTGTTATGAGTAATCATAGCTACGATTGCTACCCAAACTGTTCAATGGAATGTAACGTTTCATTCGTTATATTTACCAGGAATGGTTCAGCACTGTTAAATCGACTAAGGGAATGACCCTTTTCGTAGACTGAGCAAACAGATTGTTGGCGTTTTTGGTTAAACTTCATACACCGACAAGGCATCACATGGATTCCATGTTCGCTGTGAAGTTAGGCGTCGTCACGTTACGTTGAAAATGGTCGACAATGTGACATTAATGATATCTTCTACAATTCTCACCCGCAGGTCTAATGTGTTGTACATGCAATTCTGTACAATCCGTGGAATGCGTCCACAGGGGAAAGTTAGTTTATCAGTTTTGGTTATCGATGGTTATCGATGCTCACGGTATCCCCTTGATCAGGTGTTAGACAGATAACAAGCCTACAGTATTGACAGGAAACAGAGGTATTTCAAATAAGTTCAACAAAGCTATATCAACCAAACTACTATTGACAGATTTACACGAAATGTTGGTTAAGTAACATCATGCAGTAAACGACAACATATCGTACATTCAAGGAACACTTGAGATAGTGCATGCCAGAAAATTGGAAACGGGCGCAATGAGTTCAATCAAAGAGTTATGTAATACAATTTAAAATATTCCGAACACGACATTGCGCCGTAGTATACCCGCTGGTATTGTATCAGTAAACACAGGAGGAACTAACTTTATCATCCACAGGTGCTAATCTTCCGAGTATTAATTTGACCTAAATGGTTTGTTTGTAGCGGATCGTCAAAAGCACCCCTAGTGGAGGAATTCAAGTTCCAGAAGTGAGTTGTTCTAGTCTACATGTTTTAATCTTTCGTCACATGAAGCATTTATTCTAAGCTTGCTCAGTGGATGTTTAAACGCTTAGGAGGCAGCCAGGTGAGCTTCTTATAAGACTCTTTACCATGGTTCACAGGAAACCTTCACATGTCAGCAGATGATGTATAACTGTGCAGCTCCCATTTCGCTGTGTACAACAGCGATTGTGGTATGTATGTAATAGCTACCAATGGCATGGTTTATGTGATAAGAAAAGCAACTAGTTAGGCACTTCATAGACCTTGCGCGTTCTGTCAAAAGATTTTAAACCCGAAAATTTTTCCAACGCAAACATCGTACTAATTTAGTTGGTTGAAGCTTGATAGTGCACTAAGCAAGAACAAGTTAATACTACGGTGAATGCTTACTGCGATTTGCTCAGAACGTATTCTGTTAATATTCGAAGCTAACAACATGATGTAATTGGAGTATGCTGGGTAGTTCATGCTGAAAGATTAGTTCATCATGTGTGTTCACGACAGTATTGGATGCATAGAGGCTTTTCGATTATGATTTATTTACTAATGACTATAGTATTGGTCTGCGCTTTCTAAATTGGTCTTGCCAGTGGTT